CCCCCCCCCCCCCCCATATAATTGTGGTCCTTGGTGTCTTTGTAACTTTGAGGCTCACTTGTGGGCTCAAGTGTCCCCTGTCTGGGTTCAGGGCCCAGCACACCCGCTTCCCAGTGATGGGGCCGCCGCGGCCTCGGTGTGACCACATCCTCATCTGTAAAATGGGGATAGACAGCTGCTCTCCGAGCTGTGAGCGAGCTCAGTGGATGCTTGATGTTACCATTTCCTCCTCCTCTACAAACAGGAGTAGGTGCCTCCCCCGCCCCCTCCCCAGTGTTCCCTTTGGATCACTGATTTGTGTTTGCTGTGTGTAATTGTCTTAGCTAACCAGCACACCAGGATGCCACCAAGACCTGGTCTTCCAGCCACCGGGGTTTGGTCCTTCCTTGCCCTGGAATGTAGCAGCAGCTGGGACTGTGCCTACACGCCCTCCCAGGCCTTGACCTGAAATAACTGGGAACCGTCCCCGAGTCTCAAAGGAGGCAGCAGCCAGGGAGGCTGAGCGGGGAGAACCCCTCTGCTGGCTCCTGGCCTCCACCTCAGGGAGCAGCCACATGGGCAAAATCCGAGCATTTTTCAACGGGACAAAGGGTTTCAAACTTGCTGTGTTATATCGGGGAGATGTTGGGCACAAGTCTTGTCTGTTGGGAAGGGCTCACTGCACACACACCTCTGGGGAAGCAGCACGGGGCCCTGGCCTCGGTGCAGGCTGGGGCTGGAGCGGGTGGAGGGAGCTGGTAAGTTAGGGGCCAGGGCTGCAGGGAGGGGAGGGGAGGAGGATGGGAGGAACCGGTTTCTGTGAGGTTCTCGCCAGATCTGATGTGGGGCGGACCCAGGGGTGTGCGCGCTCTGCCTCCTTTAAACCCTGAGATTTCACAGCCGTGTGGGAAGAGGGGCGGCCACTCCCTCTCTCCTGTGTCCCCAAAACTCCATCCTCTGCTTTGAACAAATGCTGACACGTCCATTTAGATTTATTCTAGGGTCAGAATATAATGGCGGGGGGGGGGGGGGGGGGGGGGGGAGGGGAGGGTTAAAACCTAGGGTGTCCGCCCTGCCTGCCTTTGTGGTCACGGGAATGTCCATGAGAGCGGACAGGCATTGAAAGGTCGCCGAAGCCAGCGCCTGGACACCTTTGAGTCTGCTTCCCCTCGAGGAGGTGACTCTGCAACCACGTGTGAGCCTGAGCGCAGGATTGTCCCTGCGGGCCCCCTTACCCGGAACCAAACACAGGGGATTCTGGGAAATGTAGTTCCGCGTTCCCTAAGGAACAGGAGACAAAGCCATCAGGGAATTTCACCTTTTCCTCTAGATCAGCGGTTCTCAACCTGTGGGTCGCGACCACTTTGGGGGTCGAACGACCCTTTCACAGGGGTCACCTAAGACCATCGGAAAACACATATATAATTACATATTGTTT